TATATATATATATATATCAATGTCTTTTTTAAATTCTTCCTCAGGGCTAAAAAAGTCGTTCATAGCAGACAGTTAACCCTGGCCAGCTGTTCAGTATCACAAACTTTAAAAACGCACATTTTCAAAGATCAGCTTACTTTAAACAATATTAACATGCTATTGATTGCGTGTGCTCGAAAAATATTTTGTTGAGATTCAAATTCTTAATGTCGAAAAAAGACCCATTTAACAGATGGGTCAGTTTTTGGCCTCTGTCCTGGCTGATTTTTCGTGGGGTTTTTTGGACTTCCAAAAGCTGAACAGCTTGCCAATAGAATATTGTGACGCATACTAGTATAACTGAAGGTAAAGAATAACCTTAATAATAATGTATAACATTAAATAGCGCTCACCCCAATTGCACATGCTCTGAGCGCTTTACAATACAATCCAACAGTAACATAAAACGTTGTGTTCTGACCAAAAGAAAATAACTCCATTCATCTTATTCATTTAACAACAAAATGACTTCAGCTGACATTTGAATGAACCAAAGGAGTTGATCTCTCCTTTAAAGTGGTCTTACTAGTCTCGTTTCTTTGTTATGAAAAACCATAACAAATGAAGGAACGGTGAAAGTGTCAGATAATTTAACATTAAAGAAATGACTAATGATACGTTGTCAGATATTGTAAAGCCCCATTTACACGTACAGTTCATTGATTGACCCCATGTAGGATATCGAAAGAATGGCGAGCATCCTGTCAACTTCCCTAACACTGAAGAAATGACTAATGATACGTTGTCAGATATTGTAACACTGAAGTAATGACTAATGATACGTTGACAGATATTGTAACACTGAAGTAATGACCAATGATACGTTGACAGGTATGGTTTGGCCTAACCTACACAATGGGGGTCGGATGAACTCTACATGTAGGTGTAGGGTTCAGTGATAGGGTTAGGGTTAGGTTTAGTGTTAGGCTTAGAAAAGGGTTAGGCTTAGGCGTAGGGTTAGGGTTAGGGTTAGAGTTAGGTTTAGGTTTAGTGTTAGGCTTAGGAAAATGCTCCTTTGCATTCAGTACGGAATATCAATAGCGATTAGAATCTAAATCTATTTTTGTTTTTCGTGGCGACGCATCGATGTGCATTCAATGGGAAGTTTATTTTTGTTTGTTTTTTGTCTTTTGTTGTTGCTGTATTTTAAAAAATCGAATATCTCATTCTGTCTGCTGGGACGCTGTGACCTTCTCTGACCCGGGGTGACCCTGTGACCTCTACGGGAGGTCAAAATCTACATCGATTAAGGTGTAAAAATATAGAGATATAAAATAATGCAAACATTACATAGATTACAAAACGACCTTTTGCTCGTGGGATGAATCGAAACGCAAGATGAGGAGGAACAAGACGTAAGATATTTAAAGTTATCATTTCGAATAGAAATAATAATAATAATAATAATAATAACAACAACAACAATAATAATGATAATAATCATAATAATAATATGATGATGATGA